TCTTACAGGGCAGCCTGCACGAGGAGATCTGGCTGCGCCGCCCACCTGGCTTCACTGGGTCGTTCCCTCCTGGTACCCAGTGGAGCCTCCGGCGGCAGTCTACGATCTCCGCCAGGCGCCGCGTGAGTGGCACGACACACTGAGGACGACACTTGCGGCTCTTGGGTTTGCTCCGTCGACTGCTGACCCGTCGCTGTTTCTGCGCACCGACACTTCGCTGCCGCCGTTCTACATCCTCGTGTACATCGACGACTTGGTCTTTGCCACTGCTGACACTGAGGCTCTTGCCCTGGTGAAGTCGGAGCTGCAGAAGAGACACACGTGCACAAACCTGGGTGAGCTGCGCAGCTACCTTGGCTTGCAGATCACCCGGGACAGAGCACGCCGCACCATCACACTGACTCAGTCACACATGGTGCAGCAGGTCCTTCAGCGCTTCAACTTCACCTGGTCCTCGGCATAGGCCACTCCTCTGGCGACAGGCCACTTGCTCTCAGCTCCACCTTCGGACGAGTCCGTAGAGCCGAGTGGTCCTTACCCAGAGCTAGTTGGTTGCTTCATGTACCTGATGACCTGCACTCGTCCTGACCTTGCGTACCCTCTTGGCCTTTTGGCTCGCTACGTGGCTCCTGGTCGGCACCGAAAGGTGCACATGGATGCTGCTAAGAAGGTACTACGCTACTTGTGCAGTACATCGGGCATGGGGCTCGTGCTTGGAGGACGGAGCGACGTTGTCCTCACTGGGCACTCAGACGCTTCTTGGGTTGAGGACCAGGCTACGCAGCGGTCGTCACAGGGTTACACCTTCAGCCTTGGCTCTGGTTCAGTTTCTTGGCGTTCTACACGCTCGTCTTTAGTTCTCAGCTCCAGTTGTGAGGCTGAGATCTACGCCACAGCCATGGCTGCACAGGAGTTACGCTGGCTTACCTACCTGCTGACCGACCTGGGAGAGCGGCCTCGTTCTCCTCCAGTGCTGTACGTCGACAACAAGGCCGACGTTGCCTTGTGTGAGGAGCACAGACTGGAGCACAGAACGAAGCACATCGCTCTGCGTTACTTCCTGGCTCGAGAGTTGCAGCAGCGTGGTCAGCTTCGTCTTGCTCACGTGGCCACTCGGGCCAACACTGCTGATATATTCACCAAGGCACTTCCGCCTGGTGATCATCAGCGTTTCTGCACTTTGTTAGGCCTTGTGCCCACTTTTCCTCACTTGCTGTAGACTTTGCTTGTACTGTGATATACATATATATATATACCTGCATGCTTGTTCTGCTAGGTAGAGATCACTGTACTGCTGTTGTTGCATATATACCTCTGCATGTGAACTGGCCTTGTGGCCCTTTGCTTGTGCTCAGTATGTGTGGTGACGTTGTGATCCACCCTGAGCTTGCTTTGCTTCTCTTGCCTGGTCTTGTGACCCCTTGCTCTCCCCCACTTTGCCTATGGGGGTGTGTCAAAGTATATATATGCTTTATATGTTTAGGCTGTAGTGGGGTAGCCAATATAGGGTACAGCCCCTTTTAGGGTTTCATACTTGTACCCAACCCTTTCATAGTTCATTCATTCCCGCTGCTAGATTCTAACAACCTGCGCACCACGCGTCCCACAAGCGATATTAGGGACCTCCACGAAATACGATGGCGCCCAAGGTACGGTTTGTCCTTCTCGTGTTGGTAGAGTCGCGTAGTCCGTCGGCTTCGTGACGATGACACGCCACCGATCCATGGCGGGTCCTCGCAGTAGCGACACGGCGTAGCGGATTTTCGCCGTATCCTTCGAGACGTAGTTGGCGTCGAAGAAAACGTTCAACGTGAACAGCCACGCCTGAACGGTAGGACCACCCCGTTGACTCGGGTCAAAGCATGGCGGACGCTGCGGCTTCAGCGGCATCGTCGAATGCAGTGTTGATTCGCCGGCCGGCACAGAAATCGTGACGCGGGGTTGACTCCAAGCATTCGTTGCTTCGAGGTGTGTCGTGCTGTGGTCGTCGTCTCCGTCGTTGCGGACGACGCCATCACTGGCCGCGCTCGCGGGTTGCCCCACACTTCCGTGCTAGGATGTCTGTGGTGCAGGTTGCTCCGGAGTGCCAGGTGCTTGCGAATGTGCTTGCTGTGCTCGAGCGACGTCATTCTGCAGGGACGTGCGTTATGCAGTCAGCGCTGCAATTTCAGAGCTTTCGAGAAGTTGCTGCAGCAGTTCATTCAGTGAGTCCTGCGTGAGCGTAATGACGTCGATCTGTTCGGCCATGTCGAAGGGCGTCGGCTTAGCTTAGTCTAGGCGCAGTCGTGACTGTACGCGCTTACGAAAGAACGCGAAGAAACCGGCTCCTAGGTGCTAAGGGGCGTGAGTCCCTTCGAGTGAAAAACAAAAAGTTGATTTTCTGGGGTGCAGAGATGCGCGGTCCGAAAAGGAAAGAGGCTCTGAATACCAAGTGTTACGGGTGCAATGAATCGAGGTAGCGATGATTGCACTAGAGTGTTTTATGCGTACAAAGTATTAGAAGGCATGAGTGAATACTTATACGAGAAACATGCAAACGGTAACGCGGTGCGTGCGAGTTAGCTAGTCCTATGCTGGCGCGAGGTTCGGGCTAGTCCAGAAGCGTAGGCCGACTCGGCTGCTCCAGCAGTGCAAGGTTTGGTGAAACAGTGCGCGCGAAGTTGGCGAAGCCCCGTTAGCAGTAACGGGCGAACAACGGCTTGCTGCTGTACGCGATGTTGTCGGTCGCAGTAAGGGATAGCAAGAAAATTCCTTACAAGTAGCCAATTGTGAAATTTCATTTTTGTGGTTATGAGTGCCCATCTGCTCATAAAGTCATGCTCTAAGAGTTCCATGCCAGTAGCATAAATCAACCGAGCTCCGTGTCGCAATTTGTGTTTCTGCGCGGCCCTAGAAAACGCCATTCACAAAACCGGAACTGATTAGGGCGCGTGCCTTTTGGAAATTGTATGCAAAACTCGAGTTTTTGAGTTGACCTAACACAGTTGAACCTAGGTCGACCTAGGCTCGACTATTTCAGCATCTGTGACCCGAGTCGCTGCTCCTCCACTCACGAGAATCACAGGACACACAAAAGTTCAGACACTCGAAGTTGAACTTTTACAGCCTACCCGAGTCGCGTCCAGCTCACGAACGGTTACCTGGTGTGTGTTGAAGAGGCCTGGACCCTAATTTCCGAAGTCGCTCGTGCTGCGACTCTCGCCAAAGTCGCAGATTCTTCGTGTATGGTCAAGAGGACACACGACTGACGTTTCGTTCACGCATGGTTTGTTTTGAAAGCTCGACCCAGGTTTAGTGTCCTACTTCATACACATTGCTGGACAAGGACACACGATGGATAGACGACGCATTTAGCGAGATTCGCGAAAAGAGTTACCATCAAAAGCTCAACCAATTTTTCGAACAACTACAGCAAAAGATACGCGCCCTTACCACCATTCTTCAAGCACACGCTTGTCCTTCACTCACTTATCTGCGTGGCTTGGCTTTCTCCGGGGGACACGTATCTAGACCGTCCTGCTCGTGCCGATCCTGACAGCGTGCAGAACGGAAGGCAGCCATTAGGGATCAAGCGTGACTATCAGTAGGAGTGTGCATCTACGAGTTTTTAGTTTACACGCCAAATTCGAGGCAGAATTCGCCGAGAAACGATCAAGAAATTCCGAGGTTGTTCACCCTGCGCTGATGCGTAATGCTCGTTCCGCAACGCTTGTTCTGACGTCTGCATCGCATTCGTAATCGTATCGCATCTTTGAACAGTTGGCGCCAGCAGCAGTTGTCGCCGACCCGACATCACGACTGTGCCACCAGCGATGCGCATTAGATCAACGGCTCACAGCGATTTCCTGTCGACGACTTCGTGTTGACATCAACCTGTTTCCTTCTCCGAGGCCCTGCGCAATGTGCGTGCTATGCTGCTGTTATGGGTGCTGTGGTGCTGTGGGTGCTGTGGTGCTGTGGTGCCGTGGGGATTTGGGGGAAGGCGCTGTGTTTTGCGAGTGGCGAATCAGGCACATCAGGCATGCTGTGTGAATGAATGCAGCATCTCGTCTCAAACACTCAATCTATCATGCTATGTCAACAAGTGTCCCTCTCAAACCCCTCCTCCTTGCTTCCCCCCATCACGTTCCGCCCTGCCCTCCTGCACGTGCAGCTGCCACTGCGGGTGCGCCTGTAGTCGCACAACCACGGGAAGAAGTCACGGGCCGGGTGAGTGTATGGTATTTGCTACGTGCGTGAGTCATGATGGCTCATGATGCTCCTGCATGCTGCTCAATGAAATGGCATCTGACATGGGATGGGCTCTTGTTTCGTCAGTGTCATCTCCCAGCCACACGCACTCACACGCCATATCCTCATGCATGCCAAGCCATGCCCATCGCCCTGCTGTGCCTCCTGCATGCCTCACGCCAATGCGCATGCAGCTGCCAGTGGTTGACCCCTTCCCGCGCGACACACAGCCATCAGCATGCCACGGAGTCCCTCTACGTGGCATCTGGTAAGCTCCTCGGTGCGCTATGCATGACCGTTCCTCTCAGCAAGCCCAACTCCCTTACTGTGTCACTTGGGTGGGTCCCTTCGGTGCTTGAGCTCACGCCTTGCTTGCTGACGTGAGCTCAGGTTTCTCTGCAGTGAGCTCACCCCTTGCTCTGATTAAGCTCACGCTTTGCTTCCTTCAGTGAGCTCACCCCTTGCTCTGATTAAGCTCACGCTTTGCTTCCTTCAGTGAGGTCACCCCTTGCTCTGATTAAGCTCACGCTTTGCTTCCTTCAGTGAGCTCACCCCTTGCTCTGATTCAGCTCACGCTTTGCTTCCTTCAGTGAGCTCACCCCTTGCTCTGATTCAGCTCACGCTTTGCTTCCTTCAGTGAGCTCACCCCTTGCTCTGATTAAGCTCACGCTTTGCTTCCTTCAGTGGGCTCACGCCTTGCATCATGTGAGCTCACGCTTTCCCTGACAGCCTGATTTGATGCCATTCAGTCAATTTGTCACCTGATTTCGATGTTTTCTCAGAAACCATTTCTGGGCGGCAGCGGCGCGGAGGGCGGGGGCGGTGCAGCGGGAGCAGGTGGCGTGGCGTGGCTGGCAGCGATGGCGCGGCGCAGCCCGGAGGAGGCGATCCGCGCGTTTGAGGCGGGCGCGCTGGCGGAGTACGTGCGCGCGCTAGTCGCTGTTGACCACCTGGGCGGCAGCGCGCTGCTCGCCATGCTGCAGCGAGGTACCAACGCGCCTCTCCTCCGCGCGCCCCCACTCCGCATGCTGCCCCCCACTTCACGCCATGGCCTGTGGCGCATGCCGCATGGTTCCTTCCTACTGCTTTCCCCCACGCCCTCATCCCTTCCTCCTCCCCCTCATTTCCCCCCCTGTCTCCCCCCGAACCTGTTCCGTTCCCTGCCTGCAGGCGCTGCAAGATCCGCCTCCCCCTTCCCCCCGTCCTCCGCGCCCCTGTCGTCCATGCGCGCGCCTCTCCGAGGGGCGGTGGGTGCAGTGGCGGTGGAGGGCGCGCTGGGGACGGCGAGCGCACCGCTGCACGTGGTGGCGGCGAGGCACGCGTGGCCCGCGCTGAGGGCGCTGAGGGCGCTGGACTCGGCGCGCTGTGGACCATCGCCCGCGAGCGCGACGTGGGGCACGGTGAGAGGGGGAAGGGGGAGACAGAGGTGGAGAACGGGAAGGTGGATGGGGGTGAGTCTGGAGGGGTGGTGGGATGGGTGGATGTGAGTGTGACTGGCACGGTGCATGCGCTCTTGCAGTGGCCACGTGCTATAGGCACTTGCCTCGCCATGCCCCTCCTTCACCCCACCCCACCCCCCTCATCCATCCCGCGTCACATGTGCACTGCCGTCCTCGTCCCTCCCAATTCTTCCCTCTCCCTTTCTCCCCACTCCCCTCCCATGTGGCGACAGGGTGGGCTGAGCGAGGAGGAGCAGTCAATGGCGGGGAGTGACATGCGGTGCAGCGATGTGAAGGGCGTGGATGAGGCCAAGGCGGAGCACCAAGCAGTCGTGCACCACCTGCACCACCCCAAGGTGGTGCAACTCCGCTCACTTTTTTTTATGCTCCACGTCAATTCAGCTGCTCCAACCAACCCATGATCAAGGGCCTCGCATATCCCGTGGTGGTTGCCCTCTTGCATTTCCTGCAATACCTCAAGGCCCCTCACTCATGCCGTCTTCCTCTTTTGTCGATCCGATCCTACTCCACCGCTGTCCCACCTACCTGTCTTTTCCCACCTCCTCGCGCCTTGTATTTCACCTTCCCTGCCCCCTCTCCCGTGCGCCCCCTTTCCTGCCCCGTCTCCCCTGCGCCTCCTTCCCTTGGCCCCCCCTCTCCCACCACAGCAGTTCACGCGCCTGGGAGGCAAGCTGCCCAAGGGAGTGCTGCTGGTGGGGCCACCGGGCATGGCACGGGCAAGGCGATGCTAGCGCAGGCGATAGCGGGCGAGGCGGGCTGCCCTTGCTCTCCGCGTCGGTCTCCGAGTTCGAGGAGGCATGATAGTGGTCGCCGCCACCAACGTCCCTGAGAGCCGCTGCATGGCCGCGCTCGGCTCGTGCGGCCGGGCCAGTTCGACTGCCACGTGGTCATGCCTAATCCTGATGTGGAGGGGCGGCACAGATACTCGAACACCAGTTGTGCAAGTGCAGTGCGGTGGCCGTGGGTGCTGCATGCATGGGTGCTGCATGCATGGGTGCTGCATGCATGGGTGCTGCATGCATGGGTGCAGGGAAGTGTGCTGCACCACATTCAGCTGACTATGCACACCTTCATCTTCTCCCTCCTCTCCTCCCTCTCACTCCCCCAACCCAACCCCATCACGCCCTTCCGCTCTCCTCTCCCCCCCACCTTCCAGATCCCCAGAGCGGATGACGCGGACGTGTCAGTGATAGCGCGCGGCACGCCAGGCTTCAGCGGGGCAGACCTCGCCAACGTGGTGAACGGGGCGGCGCTGCGGGCAGGCATGGAGGGGCAGCGTGCGGTGGGGTGGGGTGAGCGCACCTGGAGCCAAGGTGAGGAGCGCGCCTCCTCATGGCCGTCGAGCGCAACTCCGCCGTCATCTCCCCGCACACACGACTGGGGAGTGAGTGGGGATGAATGGGAAGTAGAGCAAGACTGTCCTTTTCAGTGAGAAGGGAGTCATCCCTGCTGCTCGTGCTGCACTGCATGCTGCTTCTGCTACCACATCCCTTGTCACCCATCCTCTTCCCCATCCCGTTCCCGTCCCGTCCTGTCCCATCCCATCCCATCCCATCCCATCCCATCCCACCGCACCCATCCCATCCTATGTCCCTATACCTCCATGCCCCACCACCCAGCTATCTGCATTCCAGCTGCCTTTACGACCCACTGCCAGCTCTCCACAGCACCCCTTCCTGCTCGCTGATGTGTGAGCCTTGTCAACTTGTGCCATGCCATGCCATGCCATGCCATGCCATGCCACACCATGCCATGCCCTGCCATGCCATGCCGTGCCATGCCATTCCTTGCCCGTTAAATGCCCCCGTGCCATGCCATGCCCTGCCCTGCATCCCTATTGTGTTATGGCTTGTCACGTGGCAAGTTCTTATGGCCCTCTGTCCTCTGCTTCCCGTCGCCTTTCTCCTATTTCCTGTTCTCTGCTCTTCCCCCCGGTCACAGCAGCACCGCCAGCAGCTTCTCTTGTCCTTTCTGTTTGTTTTCTGCCTTGTTCTTGTTTTGCATTCTATCCTTCCCCTCTCCCCTCTTCCCCCTCCCGCCTAGGGCTGAGCAAGAGGGGAACACTAACGTGTTCGCGTTCGCCCCTGCACGTGTTCGGTTCGTCGAACAGCTTTAGCAAAAAACGGTGTTTCGCCGTTCGCCTGTGAAGGCGAACACCTTGGTGTCGAAGGCGAACACGAATGTGTTCGCCCCGGGATTACATTCACTATAGTCACATGTTTGTGGATTGTGGATTGTTGACATTTGTTAGGTGGCTGCAAGGTTCAAATAGAGTAAAACTCAAATTGTGGCACATTTCCTCCCCCCACCCCCCAAGCCAGTCCCGCCCTGCTTCATCCATGCTATTGCCAGGACGTGCATGTGATTGCGAAATGCCAGATCTGCACTTAACTGATGGCGAAATGCCAGATCTGCACTTAACTGATGGCGAAATGCCAGATCTGAGCGCAACTGATGGCAAAATCCCATATTTGCGCAGATCTGACGGCGAAATGCCCGACGAACACATCTGTGTTCGTCGGACCCCTCTTCCGAACAAGAACATGTTCGTGTTCGGCGCGGCTCGGGTTGCTGCGCCGAACCGATCACGAACATGTTCGGCCGAACACATGTTCGTGTTCGGCGAACACTTTGGGTAAAAAAACAGGTGCGTTCGAGGCGAACCGAACAGGCGTTCGCCCTGGCGCTCATGCCTACCCCCGCCCACATCACAGTGACATCTTAAACAACTTTCTCAATGGCTCTCTGCCGCTGCCTCCACCTAAACGCCAGGCTGAATTCAGCCTCAGGGACTTGCCACTATCAGGTCAACTTCTGTTGATCTTCGAAACTCTTTACACTCTCTTTCACCCCCAATTCCCCTCCCTTCTTCCCCCATCTCCCCCTTATTGGACTCCCTTTAAATCCCGTCATTTCACTACCAGTCTCCCCTCTTAGTACTACTCGAATTGCTTCACCAATTATTACCTCCTCAACTGCTCTGGTTACGCTTGGTGATTCTTACTTAGTTTGAGAGTTTTCCTGTTTGTCATGTCCTGTTTCATTGTGCAGGTTAACCTGTTTCGCCAACTTCGCACCTACGATTTGTCTGATGGCGCAGTAGTGTTCTCATCTTTTCTTCTTCGTGGCCTAGATCACTTGTGAAGAATCATATGAAAGCGTTTTTCTTTTGTTCTTCCATTAAGGAGCAGACCATAAATCTTCGTGCTATTCAGGGTACATTGAAACGACTTTCGTTTTTTGACTTTTCTGCCAATCGCAGCGTTTCCAGGTTGGCCGGATCTGATCACTCGTCAGATACAGGAACCTACTCCGTTTCAGTTCCTCCTTAATGCTCCAGGAGGAACTGAAACGGAGTAGGTCCCTGGATCCGACGAGTGATCAGATCCGGCCAACTTGGAAACGCTGCGATTGACCGAAAAAACTCGAAATTCGTTTCGATGTGCTCTGAATAGCACGAAGATTTATTGTCTGTTCATTAATGGAAAAACGAGAGTAAAACACTTTTATATGAATTTTCATGGGTGATCAAGGCTACGAAGAAGAAACGCAGAGAACACTACTACGCCATTAGACAAATAGTAGATGCGAAGTCGGCGAAACATGTCAACCTACACAATGAAACAGGAAATGACAGACGTAAAAGTTTTTAAGCGTGATTCCACTCAAAGTTGCTTCACTCCGTCTCAGTTCGAATCATCTTGTTATGAAGATGCTCATGTCCCTCCCTCGCCCTTCCCCTCCCTCGCCCTTCCCCTCCCTCGCCCTTCCCCTCCCTCGCCCTTCCCCTCCCTCGCCCTTCCCCTCCCTCGCCCTTCCCCTCCCTCGCCCTTCCCCTCCCTCGCCCTTCCCCTCCCTCGCCCTTCCCCTCCCTCGCCCTTCCCCTCCCTCGCCCTTCCCCTCCCTCGCCCTTCCCCTCCCTCGCCCTTCCCCTCCCTCGCCCTTCCCCTCCCTCGCCCTTCCCCTCCCTCGCCCTTCCCCTCCCTCGCCCTTCCCCTCCCTCGCCCTTCCCCTCCCTCGCCCTTCCCCTCCCTCGCCCTTCCCCTCCCTCGCCCTTCCCCTCCCTCGCCCTTCCCCTCCTCGCCCTTCCCCTCCCTCGCCCTTCCCCTCCCTCGCCCTTCCCCTCCCTCGCCCTTCCCCTCCCTCGCCCTTCCCCTCCCTCGCCCTTCCCCTCCCTCGCCCTTCCCCTCCCTCGCCCTTCCCCTCCCTCGCCCTTCCCCTCCCTCGCCCTTCCCCTCCCTCGCCCTTCCCCTCCCTCGCCCTTCCCCTCCCTCGCCCTTCCCCTCCCTCGCCCTTCCCCTCCCTCGCCCTTCCCCTCCCTCGCCCTTCCACCTCCCTCGCCCTTCCCTCCTCGCCCTTCCCCTCCCTCGCCCTTCCCCTCCCTCGCCCTTCCCCTCCCTCGCCCTTCCCCTCCCTCGCCCTTCCCCTCCCTCGCCCTTCCCCTCCCTCGCCCTTCCCCTCCCTCGCCCTTCCCCTCCCTCGCCCTTCCCCTCCCTCGCCCTTCCCCTCCCTCGCCCTTCCCCTCCCTCGCCCTTCCCCTCCCTCGCCCTTCCCCTCCCTCGCCCTTCCCCTCCCTCGCCCTTCCCCTCCCTCGCCCTTCCCCTCCCTCGCCCTTCCCCTCCCTCGCCCTTCCCCTCCCTCGCCCTTCCCCTCCCTCGCCCTTCCCCTCCCTCGCCCTTCCCCTCCCTCGCCCTTCCCCTCCCTCGCCCTTCCCCTCCCTCGCCCTTCCCCTCCCTCGCCCTTCCCCTCCCTCGCCCTTCCCCTCCCTCGCCCTTCCCCTCCCTCGCCCTTCCCCTCCCTCGCCCTTCCCCTCCCTCGCCCTTCCCCTCCCTCGCCCTTCCCCTCCCTCGCCCTTCCCCTCCCTCGCCCTTCCCCTCCCTCGCCCTTCCCCTCCCTCGCCCTTCCCCTCCCTCGCCCTTCCCCTCCCTCGCCCTTCCCCTCCCTCGCCCTTCCCCTCCCTCGCCCTTCCCCTCCCTCGCCTTCCCCTCCCTCGCCCTTCCCCTCCCTCGCCCTTCCCCTCCCTCGCCCTTCCCCTCCCTCGCCCTTCCCCTCCCTCGCCCTTCCCCTCCCTCGCCCTTCCCCTCCCTCGCCCTTCCCCTCCCTCGCCTTCCCCTCCCTCGCCCTTCCCTCCCTCGCCCTTCCCCTCCCTCGCCCTTCCCCTCCCTCGCCCTTCCCCTCCCTCGCCCTTCCCCTCCCTCGCCCTTCCCCTCCCTCGCCCTTCCCCTCCCTCGCCCTTCCCCTCCCTCGCCCTTCCCCTCCCTCGCCCTTCCCCTCCCTCGCCCTTCCCTCCCTCGCCCTTCCCCTCCCTCGCCCTTCCCCTCCCTCGCCCTTCCCCTCCCTCGCCCTTCCCCTCCCTCGCCCTTCCCCTCCCTCGCCCTTCCCCTCCCTCCCTCGCCCTTCCCCTCCCTCGCCCTTCCCCTCCCTCGCCCTTCCCTCCCTCGCCCTTCCCCTCCCTCGCCCTTCCCCTCCCTCGCCCTTCCCCTCCCTCGCCCTTCCCCTCCCTCGCCCTTCCCCTCCCTCGCCCTTCCCCTCCCTCGCCCTTCCCCTCCCTCGCCCTTCCCCTCCCTCGCCCTTCCCCTCCCTCGCCCTTCCCCTCCCTCGCCCTTCCCCTCCCTCGCCCTTCCCCTCCCTCGCCCTTCCCCTCCCTCGCCCTTCCCCTCCCTCGCCCTTCCCCTCCCTCGCCCTTCCCCTCCCTCGCCCTTCCCCTCCCTCGCCCTTCCCCTCCCTCGCCCTTCCCCTCCCTCGCCCTTCCCCTCCCTCGCCCTTCCCCTCCCTCGCCCTTCCCCTCCCTCGCCCTTCCCCTCCCTCGCCCTTCCCCTCCCTCGCCCTTCCCCTCCCTCGCCCTTCCCCTCCCTCGCCCTTCCCCTCCCTCGCCCTTCCCCTCCCTCGCCCTTCCCCTCCCTCGCCCTTCCCCTCCCTCGCCCTTCCCCTCCCTCGCCCTTCCCCTCCCTCGCCCTTCCCCTCCCTCGCCCTTCCCCTCCCTCGCCCTTCCCCTCCCTCGCCCTTCCCCTCCCTCGCCCTTCCCCTCCCTCGCCCTTCCCCTCCCTCGCCCTTCCCCTCCCTCGCCCTTCCCCTCCCTCGCCCTTCCCCTCCCTCGCCCTTCCCCTCCCTCGCCCTTCCCCTCCCTCGCCCTTCCCCTCCCTCGCCCTTCCCCTCCCTCGCCCTTCCCCTCCCTCGCCCTTCCCCTCCCTCGCCCTTCCCCTCCCTCGCCCTTCCCCTCCCTCGCCCTTCCCCTCCCTCGCCCTTCCCCTCCCTCGCCCTTCCCCTCCCTCGCCCTTCCCCTCCCTCGCCCTTCCCCTCCTCGCCCTTCCCCTCCCTCGCCCTTCCCCTCCCTCGCCCTTCCCCTCCCTCGCCCTTCCCCTCCCTCGCCCTTCCCTCCCTCGCCCTTCCCCTCCCTCGCCCTTCCCCTCCCTCGCCCTTCCCCTCCCTCGCCCTTCCCCTCCCTCGCCCTTCCCCTCCCTCGCCCTTCCCCTCCCTCGCCCTTCCCCTCCCTCGCCCTTCCCCTTCCTCTCACCCTCCATCGCTCACCTGTCCCGTATATGCCTGCATGTTCCCCTTCCTCTCCCCTCAGCCACCAAATATTTTTTTTCTTGCGAGATGCTTCAAATGCTCCTTCCTTGCATCCCCTTGCTCCCTCTCCCCACTTGCCAACCCGTCCCCTCTGCTCCCTCGCCTGGCACATGGCACGGCATGGCATGGCACGCCATTGCTCGGCATGGCATGGCATGGCATGGCATGGCATGGCATGGCACGCCATTGCTCGGCATGGCATGGCATGACATGGCACGGAATGGCACGGCACAGCAGTGCACGGCATGGCAGGGCATGTCATGGGATGGCCTGGCCTGGCATGGCATGGCATGGCAGGACATGCATATCCTGCCAGCGCGCACTCACCATCCATCCACTCACACCCTCTTCCCCTCCCTCTTTCCTCCCGTCCTCCCGCCCACCTCCCTACCCCCGTCCCCCAACCACACCACCCTGCTTGACCCCCCTGCTCTCCTTGCCCGTCCGCTTCTGCCCCTCCCCGTCCCCCTTTCCCCTGCAGGCACACCGTGCCGCTGCTAGAGGCGCTGGTGCATGCCATGCTGCCCCCTCCCCCCTTCCGTCTATTGCGATCACAGCAGCTCCACGTGCCGCTGCCACTGCCCACACTCGCCACTCTCGCGCGCTACTTCGCTCCCCGCATACCCGCCCCGCCCTCTGCCACCTCGTCGCATGCTCACACACCTCCCTCCCGCCACCCACCATTCCTCCTCCCCCTCGCACGTCCGCACTGCTGCTGCTGCTGCTGGTGGGGTTGGCGGTGGTGGCAGTGGCACGGTGGTGAGGCGAAAGAAGAGGAGAGGCGTGAGGCGCCGTGGCGTGGCGAGGAGGCCTTTCGTGTGCTCCTCTCTGCGCTCTGTGAGCTGCCTTGTCCGTGTCCTGTCCTCCACATGCTCCTTCTCCCACGCCCACTCCCACCTCACCTCACTCACACCACCAAGCATCTCCCTCCACGCACCGCCATCATCGCTGCATGCCCCATGCCACTCGCGGCCCATAACGCACTTCCAGCCCCCATCCCGTTCACTTTTTGAACGTCGCATGGCGTGCCATGGCATGGCGTGGCATAATGTGGCATGGCGTGGCATAATGTGGCATGGCGTGGCATAATACGGCATGGCAAGGCATGGTACGGTATGGCCTGACTGGCATGGTATGGTACGGCATGGTTTGGGATGGAATGACATGGAATGGCGTGGCATGCAATTGAGTGGCGTGGCATGGAATGGCATGGAATGGAATGGCATGGTATGGCATGGTGCAGTGCTGAGCGGGCATGTTGGGAGCTTGGAGCACGGCTGGTGTGGGCAGGCAGGTGGGCGCCAAGGCTGGGTGCACGGGCACAGGGACGGGAGCGAGTGCAGGCGACATGCTCACCTGTCGCCACGGCGAGGTGAGCCAATGTGGCTGTGGTGTGGTGTGGCCGAGAGCAGCACGAGCGGACTTGCATCCCGCCATCAGCGCTCTGGGTAATGGCCACACCAATGGTCAGGGCGACAGGTGATGGGCATGGGTGATGGAGGGGGATGGGGGGCATGGGTGATGGGTGATGGGCATGGGCGATGGGTGATGTGGGATGGGGGAAGGGGGAAGGGGGTTGGGGGTTGGATGATGGGTCTCTATCCTGCACTACTCTCATGTGCCAATCGTCCTCGCCCTTCCCCTTCCCCGCCCTTCCCTTCCCTCGCCCTTCCCATTCGTTGTCTTATGAGACATGAGCAGCGAGTCTTTTTTTCCCAGTTCAAACATGTTCCGACGAAACAAGATCGCGAACGCACACAAGCTTATCAACCCCACCCTCTCCCCCCGGTTCTGTCCCCCAAGTTTCGGCCCGCCAGTCAAGCTCATGCCCTTCCCCTCCCTCGCCCTTCCCCTCTCTCACCATTGCCCTCGCTCGCCCGCCCTGTCTCTCCTGCAGGTCTGAAGCTGCGATGGGGCATGCTATGATGCTCGTGCAAGTGGGTGCGAGTGGGTGCGAGTGGGTGCGAGTGGGTGCGAGTGGGTGCGAGTGGGTGCGAGTGGGTGCGAGTGGGTGCGAGTGGGTGCAAGTGGGTGCGAGTGGGTGCGAGTGGGTGCGAGTGGGTGCAAGTGGGTGCGAGTGGGTGCGAGTGGGTGCGAGCATGGTGGTCGCGGGGTGCTCAGCCTGGGCGCATGCCTCGTGCATGCCTCATGCCGCCAGGGACTAGCCACATGGCTCATGGCCCATGCATGGTGGGTGCTGCCTGATGCCTGATGGGTGGTGGGGTGGGTGGTGGTTGATGGGTGGCGGGTGATGGGTGGATGGCGATGGGAGGTGTGTGATGGTAGGAGGGTGTGTGGAGCAACCGCAGGTGTGTGCAACAGTAAGGGACGTTAACTGGAGGCGATCTAACCAGGAGACCATGAGTGTGAAGACCTGCCCGCTCTCCCCCCTCTCGTTCCTCACGCCACTGGCCTCCACTAACACCACACATTTAACTCCGCCTTGTACCTTGCGCTGCACTGCTGCCGCCACCCACACGCCCGCTTCCCCTGCTGTGGCGTCACCACAACACGTGGCACGTCGCAAGTCGCTCTCCCCTCCACCCAATCATCATCTTTCCTCCATCAACTCTACTGTTTTGTTCCCCTGTCTCCCCCCTCAGCCACCAAAGTGTTTTTTTCTTTCTTTCTTTCTTTTTTTCATGCGAGATGCTTTACATTCAATGAGCATCAATACAAGTGCTTCGGATCCTTCCTCTCTTCCCCTTGCTCCCTCTCTTCACTTGCCAACCCGCCCCTCCTCCCCACTATTTTTGCATTTGTTTCGTTTCAGGCGTGCTCATTTGCGGCCATTTGCGGTCCCATTCTGTGAAAAGGGACCTCCCCCCCCTCCCCCCCTCCCCCTCTACACTGCCCTGCCCCTGACTCGGGCTGCTATGATGCAGCGTCCCCTGCAGCTATCCTCGCCACTGCTTTCATGTGCACCTTCTCCCCCGTCATCTCGCTCTTCTAGGTATGCTTCTCCATTGTGCTGCCATGCTGTCGTGCCCCCATGCTGTCGTCCATGCTGCCATGCCTCCATGTCCCCAGCTTGTCATGTCATGCTGCTGTGCTGCCAGTCTCTTAGTTTCCCAACACTTGCTTTGCCTTGAGTCCCTCCCTCTCATCGTCGTTTCTCTCGTCAACACGCTTCCCCCTTCTTGGCCTTCCCCCCTAGCCCCCCTTCTTCTCCCCGCCCCATAACTGCCCTCACTTGTCCCACCCTCTCATGCCTCCGGGACTTAGGCATCTGCTGCCTCAGCGTCAGGGTGAGCTCGCTCTACCAGCAGTGTTTCCCCTTCCTTCTCCTCATCCCTTGGGTGACGACAAAGAGGAGAATGAGCCCGAGGTGAGCTCACATGCTGGGAAAGACATCGTAACTTCTTCGACATTCGTCCAACGCGCCAAGCGTAGAGCCGCCTTCTCACTGGCATGTGCCGTTTCCCACCCATCAGCGCCATGTCAACATACTGGTTCCTTTCTCACCCCTTCCCATTCCTTCGCCTCATCCCTCCTTACCCTTACCCTTCCCCACCCCCACCATAACCATCTCCACCAGCACATGCCCCTGTCATCCTCTCTCAAGGCCATGGCAGCAGCGGTGTGTGCGCTACATCACTGCCGACTCGCTCGCTCAGACCAACCTGTTGCAGCCCAAGGTGCACGAGAGCGTCTTTGCGGAGCGGAAGGTGGTGGAGAGCACTTTGGCATGAAGAAAGTCGTTGCTCGGTTCAAAGTTGCCAAGTTTCCCCACGTCATTGTGTTTGTGCCTGTGAGTGTTGTGTGCATGTTGGTGCTGTGTGCATGTTGGTGCTGCGTGCATGTTGGTGCTGTGTGCATGCTGGTGCTGCGTGCATGTTGGTGCTGTGTGCATGCTGGTGCTGTGTGCATGTGAGCCCTGTGTCGCACACCCATGCCAGCTACGCCATCCCATACTATGCTGAGTCACTGCTCTCATCTCACACCTTGCATGCGCGTCCATCGTCCCCTTATCACTGCAGTCCCCACATTCTCTCACACACACACCCTATTAACCCCTCTCCTCCGCTCTCCACCTCTCGTCACCGTTCTGCACCATGGCAGGTGTCGATAATGTTCCCGGCGCCCAGTCCAGGGAGGGAGGGCGAGGTGCAGCTGACAGTGCGGACTTCCCCGGCCCGCTCAAGTACCACACTGTGGCGCCGCAACTCATGCAGGTGGGGTTGGGTGGTGTGGTACTGCGCATGTCGCATGGCAAGTACGATGCAGGTCGGGTGGGGAGTGTGGGGTGCTGCAGTTGGCGGCCCTGTGCTTGTGGAGAATCTTATGTGCAAGCGAGAAAGGATTACCTAAGGGGGTTGTAAGATGTGGGTGCTTTTGATGCGTGCAGCCTTGTTGTCCTTCAAATCATGGTCATCATCAATGTTCCGCAAGAGGCTCAACCAATGTAAGTGCGGATTGTGAGTTGGGCGAGGAAGGGGGAGGAGTCGCCTGCCCACCGCCTTCAGTCACGTCTTTTTTGCTTCTCTGCTTGCTCTCTTGTCCCACTATTCCATTTTTTTTTTGCTACTCTGCCTGCTATTATCCTCATGTTTCCACTTCTTTTCCGTTTCTCCGCCTGCTATAAGTCTTCCTGTTTTTTTTCCCCCCACTCCACTTCTCCTCCCACTCCCTGTCCGCTCATTCGTTGCCATTTGCACATGCAGCTGCAGGCAGTGGGCAGGCGAGCACAGGAGCAGGCGCAGGGATGCCGTGTGATGTGAACCCCCTCTCGACTTTTCCTCTGCGCCCCCATGCCTTACAGGCGAAGGATCAGGTGCAGGCAGCTGTGCGGGAGAAACAAGTCCTGGAGCAGCGCCTGGAGAACCTGGAGCTCTCAACAGCCGACCAGGTGAGCCTTTTTTTCCCACTTGAGGCGCTGACCTCAGGTCAAACCTAGCGGCGATGTGTGATAGGCATACCTTGGAGCAGTAGCTCGCGCCAGCATCTGAAACTGTTTCAACCCCATCCTTTCCTTATTGGCAGAGAGGAGGGACTGGTGGGTGAGCCTTTTTTCCTCCTCCTTGCCAGTAAGGAAAAGGATGGGGTTAAAGCAGTTTCAGATGCTGGCGCGAGCTACTGCTCCAAGGCATGCCTATCCCATATCGCCGCTAGGTTTGTCCTGAGACCAGCACCTCAGGTGGAAAAAAAAGGCTCACCGGGTCGGCCGTTGAGAGCTCCAGGTTCTCCAGTCGCTGCTCCAGGGCTTGTTTCTCCCGCACAGTTGCCTGCACCTGCTCCTCCGCTTGTGAGGCATGGGGGCGCAGAGGCAAAGTCGAGAGGGGGTTCACATTACTCAGCATCCCTGCGCCTGCTCCTGTGCTCGCCTGCCCACCGCCTTCAGCTGCATGTGCAAATGGTGAGGAATGAGTGGCCACGGAGTGGGAGGAGGAGTGGAGTGAGAGGAAAAGAATCAGGGAAACTTATAGCAGGCAAAGAAGCTGAAAATAAGTGAAAATGGCGGGACAAGAGAGCAGGCAGAGAAGCAGAAAAGACGTGATTGCGCCTCGTTCCCATTCACCTCCTCCCTCAGCTGGGCATTTGCCGCCCGGCTGTCCTCCAGTTGCTGCATGGCGGTCGCTAGACTAGTTGCCAGCCCGTCCCATCGGTTGCACTCCAGAATTTGAAACTGCTTCAACCCCATCCTCACTGCCTCCCACCCACTCCCTCCTTCCCCATATGTCCTCACGTCCCCATATGTCCTCACGTCCCCACGCATCTCCCGTCTCCCATTCTTTCCGCCAGGTCAAAGCGTTGGAGCAGCACTCGACAGCAGAGGTGGATGGGCTGGCAGCTAGGCTGGCGACCGCAGTGCAGCAACTGGAGGAGAGCCGGGCGGCACATGCCAAGCTGAATCTGCACTCGTCAGCAGAGCGGGATGAGCTGGCAGCCAAGCTGAATCTGCACTCGTCAGCAGCGATTGGTGGAGAGCCAGGTGGAAGAGGCCAAGCTGAGGGAGGAGGTGAAGGAGAAGGCGGCGCAGGCAGAGCAGCTAGTGGCGGTTTCCAAGTATCTGGAGGAGAGACGGGCGACAGAGGCCCAACTGAGGGAGGAGGTGAAGGAGAAGGCGGCCTAACTGCAGGCGCAGCTGCAAGCGCTTTCCAAGGAGCTGGAGGAGCTGAGGGGGATGAAGGCGGTGAGTGTTGTCATGTGTGGGCTGTTATGTGGGGCAAAGTCGGAGCATCTGGAGGAGATGCGACGGGCGGAGATGATACAGCACGGTCTCCAATTTGAATCCCTTTTCCCGCATGTGTCTCACAGGCGTGGGTTGGGCATGGCGTGGGCGTGGCTTGGGCATGGGTGGGTGGCGGCCGCTGGGCAGCTGGGAGTGATCTGTTGGAGTTGTTTGGTACCCTGAACTCCTCCGTTCCCCCTTCCCTGCCCCCACTCTCTTTTCCTTAGCGCACATCTAGACATGAAGGGCGAGATTTGTCGGGGCTGCCGCTGGTGTATGCGTGATAAAAAAAACCTTTTAAATGTAACAAGCAGGTTTCAAGTGCGGTGGGCGATCGGTTTTTGACGATTGATCGTGCAAAATCGTAAGGGGTGACGCATCCTCACATTTTGCGTCAGCTCGTTTTGACTTTTCCTCACAGTCCTATGCTTTCCGGGTCCGGGGTATATGATCACGGTTACGGTCGTAATATAGCTTTGACCTATGCTTTCCGTTTCTCTATGCATCTGTCCTTCGTGCTCGGCTCGGCCGTACCATCCCCGCAACCTTGTTCCTCCTCGGGGTTATCTCCTTCCCCGGATCCGTTGACTTGCGGAGTTGCAAGTTGCGAGGTTTCACATGTCGTGTTGCGCTTTTGTTTCGAGACATGTGAATCTCCCAACCTTCCTTCATCCACCGGCATTGGGGAGCCAATAACGCACATCAGCCAGGAAACTCCACTTTCCTGCAATTGTCAGGGGACGTGCTGGAAGGGTGAGAGGGTGCTGACTTAGGGATGAACGAGTCTGCACAGTTGGGGGCACAAGAAATCCATTTGCTTCTGCAAGTCTCTGCATTTTTCTCCCGTTCCTGTTGTCCATGTCTGACCTGTCGTACACTGTTTCCTCTGCATCTTTCCGTCTCGCCGTCGCATTCATCGCCCCCTTCCCCTCGTTCCTCCCTGTAGTCTGCATAGCATGTGCACAGGCAGAAGCGGAAGGAGAGGGAGCAACAGGCGCAAGCGCACCCATCAAGCGCACAGGGGAGCACCTCCTTGCCGCCGCCTCCCTTTCCACCCCCTCCCTTGCCGCCGCCTCCCTTTCCACCCCCTCCCTTGCCGCCTCCTCCCTTGCCGCATCCTCCCTTCCGCCTCCCCTCTTGCCGCCACCTCCTTTGCTCTCCTCTCCCTTGCCACACCTTTCCTTGCCGCGGCCTCCCTTGCTGCAGGCGGGCAAGGAGGTGGGGATGGGACACGTGGGTGCGTTCAGAGTGTGTGGGGTGGACAGCTCATGTGTGGGGACGGAACACCCTTCCCTCCCATCCCCTCCCCTCCCCTCCCCTCCCCTCCCCTCCCCTCCCATCCCCTCCTCCTTCCCTCCGCACCCCTTCCCATACCCTCCCTTCCCCCCTCCCCTCCCCTTCCCTTCCCTGTTGTGCTCACCTCTGCTGTGTGCCCTGCGGATCATTGCTCGTGGCTGCTTCACTAACCCGGTTCCACTCCCGTTCTCACCGTGCGCACCTCCTTGCCCTCCGTACCGCCCGCTGCCCACCAGGCGCCTGGTGTGCCCGCCCTGACCAGCGGACGCGGCAGCAGCGGGTCTGCAGATCCCAACACTGGAGTGCATCAGTGCCATCACCCTCCTCTTCTCTCCTCCTCACCCTCCTCGCCTCCCCTCCTCCTCACCCCTGTCCCCCCCTCTTCTGTCGCCTCTCATCTGTTCCCCCCCCTCTCACTATCATCGTCACACTCTTACTCATATTCACAGTCACTTGCGTTTGCTCACCGACTCACTCACTCGGACTTCCACCAGCCAAACGGAATCTACAGATGCCATCACCACCAGTCATGCAGGCAAGTGTTTCCCATGAGTAGCACCATTTGTGGACAATCTAAAGCATTGGCTTTGAACAAGATGATTCTCATGAAGGCATATTTTCAGCCAGATCTGGATGCAACCTGCATTTCATTGCACTCAGCACAGCCGGAACCTGTCGTGGTTCTGCGGGCACTGCCTGGTTCTTCATGCCAGCTTCGTGACACCCTCTGATGTGGGGAGGAGTTGATCCCGGCAGCAGCAGTCCCACCAGCTTCCCTGCTCCCCTGCATCTCCCCCCCTCCTCCTCCCCCCCGCTTCCCCCCAACCCCACGCGCTGCTACAGGCCACGGGGCATGTGCGGTGGAGGTGAAACGGGCACGCTACTGAGTGTGCTTAAGGCGACCAGCGACGCGCTCCCACGTGGCTGGATGCAGCACCGGTTGGAGAGAGGAGGAAGAGGGGGAGTGATTGGGCAGGGGGGTTTAGGTTCTAAGAGGGGGACTTTTAAAGAAGGGGTTGGGTATTGGGGAGAGGAGACAGTGGGGGCCGGAGAGGGAGGAGAGGATGTGGGATGCGCGTCACACTGGACCCTTTTGCTCCTTCTTGCTGCTTCCTTGTCTCGGCGATTGCACCTCCTCCCTCCCACAGAGAGTGGCGATCAGCGCTGCTGCTGCCGTGGTTGCCTTTGCGGCGAGAGCAAGGCGACGAGCGGAGAGGTGAAGGCGATGAGCGGAAAGCGGCTTGAGAATTGGGCTAGTGGCTTCTGAACCCGGCTAAGTTCCCTGCTAACCTCTCGCTCCCTCCTACCCCATAGTCGCCCTGCGAGTTCCCCTTCCCACCCCTCCCCAACCACTCGCTTGTCGCTCGGCTGTATGTGCTGACCACACGTGCTCTCCTGTGCTGGGCATGTGTGCTGGGCATGTGTGCTGGGCATGTGTGCTGGGCATGTGTGCAGTGGTGTTGGGGGAAAGCACATATGGCACACCACCATCTACAGCCCCACCTCCTCCTCCCGTTGCCTCCCTTACACTGGCTCCATCTCACACCCACTTACACTCATTCACTCACACACTCACATTCACACCCACTTGCATGCACGCACTCACGTGCTCTCGCACACACCCACAGGTGCTCACACGCACTCACTTAGAGGCGCACACATACACACTAACACACACTCACACGATCACACACCCACACGCACACGCACTCAGTGGCTAGCGGAGTGCCTCTGCTGGGCTCCCCTCTGTTGTTGCTTCTGCTGCGCCACTTCTGTGTCTGCCTGCCCACTGCTGCTGCTGCTGCTGCCCTTCCTGCTCCTCAATGCTTCCGTGCTGCTGGTGGAAGCGGTGGTGGTGGTGGTGGTGGTGGTGGTACTGGTGACATGCATTTGCATGCCGAGGTATGGCATGCCAGCATGGCATGGTGCGTTAGTGGGGCATGGCATGGTGTGGCATGGCATGATGCCATGTGCATGTTGGCAGCACATGTGGGGAAGAGGAGCATGATGGAAGGCAGGGAGAACAGTGTAAGAGGGAAGTGGAGGGAAGAGGGGTGGACAAGTGCAGGTGTGGAGCATGTGGCAAGCGTGCCTGGATTGCCTGCCGTGCCATCTCACCGCTCTCCTCTAGAATTTCAAATCGTAGTGGTTTAGTATGATTATGGAAATTACCACTAGGATGTTATGCATTATAGTATGTTTTAATGCTTTCTTGTGTATATCTGGGATGTGCAGACTCTTGAAGTTGCAAGTTTGAAGAACTGCCGTACATAAATTGAAATGCCCATTTACACTGGTACTTCTAGCATTGCAGTACTAAGAATCTGGGCAGAGGTAAGGCTTTAGACATTTCCCCTTGGCTCTACAATAATGTGCACCAAGTGTGCAATGGTACTGTACCGTATTAATGTCAGACATCGGTACCGTTTGTCAAGTGCGATGTTTGTTTGCAAACTGCTAAAGCTTCACCTGTTCATCCTTGTCTCATCATCTCATCTGATCTGTAATATAAATGACTGGTTCAAATGTACACCTCGCTATTCTATGTTTGTCAGACTACTGTGGCAACAGGCCAATCAGGTGCACAGCTGGTGGCTGGGATTCGACACCTTACGCCACCAAACTAACAACACTATAGCAGGGTGAGTGGAGGGGTGTCAAGCAGGTGATGGTTGGCGCGAGCACGCGGAGAGGTGCCATGTGATCATTGCAGCCACGATGCATGCTACCAGGTGTGCACCTGCCTGCCACCTCGTATGGCTGCCACCCCAAGCTGTGCTCCAGAAAGCTGTGAAGGAAGCCACACACAGGGAGGGCACTGAGGTAGGTTAGGGAAGTGAGTGGGTGCAGTACAGTGCATGTGTTGCTTCCCTTGCCATGGGACACGTGACGGACTGCATCACGACCACAGTAATTGGCTGCAGCAGGGGCTTGAAAGCAGTAGTAGGAACAATGGGGGTGAGAAATGCAGGAGGCAAGACAGAAAGGCCTGCATGGAGGCAATAGGACCACAAGGAGGGGGGGGGGAAGAGAGGGCGGGGGCGGGGGGCATGACACAGCGGGAAGAGAGGAGATAGGGGGAGATTGGCACAATAGCCGCATCACCAATCTCGAAGGACAAATAGACGCAACAGCGCCACCTCCAACCACGTGCATCCCTGGTTTGGGGATGTCTCAGAACACGTGGTTCCCTGGCAGGCGGACGGGAGCGACGTGCATGGGGGGCCGGAGGAAGAAGCGCTGAAGGGTTCAAAAGGGGCGCGTCGAGTGAGAAATCGCGGATCCGCGTGATCAGGGCAGGCGCGAGGTCGTACGGTTGGTACGGGAGAGACGGTGAGAGGATAGGAACGGCGCATATGCATGGGATGCAGCGGCGTGAGAGCACGATTAATCAATGAAATGCTATGCGTGTCATGCGCTAACTAGCCGCGTGGCGACTTTCCAAACTGAACTAACAGTGCACGCGCGTGGCGGGTTGGCGTGGCAAGGCGCGCAAGGAATCACAGCGGAGTGGCCTTGGAAGATGAGGTGCGGCGCGGGCACTCACAGCTGGACTCCCACCACCGCCTCCTCGCCTGCTGCTGCTTCTGTGGTTGCTGGTGCCGATCTTGTTGTTGCTGCGTCTGCGGGTGTTTTTGCAATTGCTGAAGTTGTTGCTGCTGCTGATGGTGGTGTGGCTGGAAAGAAATAGAGAGGGAGAGGGAGCAGGAGAGTGAGAGGGAGAGGAGGGGGATCCGAGTACCTGCAGGCTTCCCGCCTTGGCTGAGGAGTTCGCTGTGTGCTGGCTGCCTCCACTGCTCAGGCTCTCCCGTGACACCAACTCTGACGCAGCTTGGCGACTCTTCATATTCCTGCCACACTTAACCCTTCAAGCTGTCCGGCAGGGGAGGGTTGGAGGGAAGGGAAGAAGCGGTTTGAAGCATTCAAATATGGAGATTGGCAGCAACTGTACAACGAGGCAAAAGGGGCACTTGACCTACCCCCACCCAACCAACCCAACCCTGACTCACACGGACAAGCAGCATGGGTAGAACTGACAAGGCGCAGAAACCTGGGCAAAGCAGTGCGAGCACTAATACCAGCACCCCTATTGCCAGCAAAGAACCAACAAAACTGTAACCAGTCTCGAAGTGAAACACTCCCCCCCTCCCCCCCCCCCCCCCCTCTCCCTCTCCCCCCCCGTTACAAGCCAGCTCCCTGACTGGTAAAAAAAACTTCCCAAACTTTGAATCGCTTACACATAACTTTGAAGATTTCACGAGGATCCTTGCCGATTGCCCCAGCGAGGTCGGTGCAGGCCCCTCAGGGATGACTTTAAAGATTTTGAAAGACGTCGCATCACGCTCACCAATCTGGACATCTGCGAGCACCTGCATGGGGTCACCAACATTCTGCTACGGCCCAATGCCCAAATCTGCACTACCTTTCCTTGCCCAGGCCCGTCTCCTGGCCCTTGCAAAACCACACGGAGGTGTTCGCCCAATCGCAAGTGGGGAACGCCTCATTCGCATGGAAGCGATTGCCTTGCTTCGTGCCTTTGGCCCGTCAATACATTCTTTCCTACAACCACTGCAGCACGGGGCAGCAGTATCTGGAGGAGCTCCTTGAAGCCCACCAGGACTACACAGACGCAGTGCTGCAGGTTGACATCGCCAGCGAATACAACTCCATTCACCATGCATCGTGTGACAATTTTCAACACCCTTAGAACCTTGGGCAGCCGTCCCCCCTCCTCCTCGCGGTGTATAACCCGCTCAGCAGCTCCAGGGGAGTCCGCCAAGGGACCCGTTAGCCCAGCATGCACCCTCACTTAAAGGCAGTGGAGACGGCACACCCCTCTGTTCTCTGTGTGGCGTACTCCGATGCCGTCACATTCGTCGGCCCCCAAGCAGCTGCCGAAGCGGCTTTGCAAGATTTCACACACAGAGGATCACAGCCGCGGGGCTCACCTTGCCAGGAAATGTGCAGCATGGGCGCCGCAATCACTCGCAGCAGACGCTTTTCCTCGACTTCCCCCCCTCAGCACTGGTGGCATTAGGGTGCTCTGCTCGGCAGCCCTGTGGGTACCCCGGGTTTTTGATGAGAGTTTGTGATCAATCAGCTGGAGATCGCAACAGAGACCCTGCCTGCCCTGGCAGTACTGCACCCCCAAATTATCCTGCTCCTCCTCTCCCGCTGCATCTACCGCAAGGTGGGGCATCTCCTCCGGTCGACCCCCTTCTCGTCCCTCCCCATACGTGAATGGTTGGGGAGGGAAAATCCCCTGCTTCAGGCGGCCCTGGATGCCTGTAGCATGAAAGCGGGCAGCTGCAGATCCAGAAACCCTCTGGTGCTAGGCCAGCCTCCCATTCACTATGGGGGGGCAGGGCCTGATTGTCCCGCAGTAGAAGCCGCACTTGCATACCTGGGCAGCATCACCCAAACATCTCAGCTGCTCCAGGCACTCCAGCTCCCCTCATCCCACCCTCTGTCCGCTCTAGTGCCACCCCTCCAAGGGCCCTTCTCCTCCAACCTTCCGATGCACACGCTGCTGCAGAAATGCGAGACACTGCTACCTGAAGACGCCCAGACACTGCTTGCAGCGGAACAATCAGATCCCACAGAAACCTGGCTGCAGCATGGCCTCTCTGTGCTCATCAACCGGGACCGTGTTGCTGCCCTCACTGTCTGCTCACGGCACAGGGTCACAACATCGGCCCTTGGCCACACCCGGCGACTCACCTCGCTGCAGGGGCCGGGGCCGGGGGACTGGTTGCCGGCCATACCCTTCAGCCAAGACCTTAGCCTCCGCCCAAGCGATTCTCCATTATGGGACTGCCCATGAACATCCCGAGCAACTGCATCTGCAAGAAGGTGTCTTTACAGACACTTCTCTCCATAACCACCTCCTTCGGTGTGGGGACGGAGCTGACTGCAGCACCACCCGCAACAACCTCCTTAACGTGGTGGCACGAATGGTACGAAAGGCGGGTTTTCATCGCGCACAAGGAATCAAACCTTCATGCTGCCCACGATGACTCACCTCGCGCCCAAGTCGTGCTGCCAGAGGACCGGGCAGCAGCACACGCGAGAATGTGAACCGCTGCTGCCAGAGGGTGCCAAGGCTCTGCTGGCAACAGAGAGGAGCGAACCCACCGAGATACGACTGCAGCACAGCCTCTCCACCTACCTTAACCGGGAACCCGCAGCAGCACTGATCGACGCCCCACAACACCAAGCCTCCACCCCCCCCGGGCCACCCACCCACCCACCCACGCTCTCCCATTTCACCTCTCTGAAGCCCAATACCACCTCTGTCTAAGGTAAATTGTGTCTTGCTCCCCTTTTCCTTTCCCTCATCCCACCTTCCTTCCCTATCGCCCTCCCCAACCACCTTAACCCAGCCCGGCTATCCCATCCCCCTCTCCAACCAACCCACCACCTACAGCCTTCCCTCTCCCGCCACCCCCCCTCCCTCTCCTGCTGCCCGACCCCCTATCATATTCCCCCTCACTGAGCACCCCTCTCATCCCCTCCCTCGCAGCTCCCGCTCCCATGTCATTACAATCCCCATCCCGCTGCCCTCCGCTCCTCCCGTGGCCCCACGTCCCGCCTGCTCCATACCGGGTGGTCGAGAATGGGCCGGGCTGGATCTGGGCACGACGCGGGGCGTGAAGTGAGAGGACGCTCCTCTTTCACCCCACCTTCTCCCAACCCCCTCTCCCACATCCCTTCTCCCCAATTCCCCCTTCTCCACTCTCCCCTCTCCCACCCACCAATCTCCACCCCATTATCTCCACTCTTGCACTTCCCTTCCCCATTCTCCAGGGCTAACCGTAGCACTTCCACGTGAGGCTCCTTGAATAAGACAACCTTGCACGGCCATGGGCTGTACTCATCCAGCTTTGCCCACACAGCTTCGCCCACACTAAGCGGTGGATCAGGAAGCAGCTCCATTTCTTATAACAAGGAGGAAGGGAAAGAAGGAAAGTTACTAAACAGGGCTGAAAAAATGGTTTCGATTCAAATTCAATGTAAATGAGAAAGATGGCGGAGAAAAGAATCTCAACAAGCACGAACCTCAGGCCTCCATCGGCTGGGCAAGATTCGGTTGCGGGCAGAGGGTGTCTACGATGTGTCGAATTCAGCAGTCTTAGTAGTGTTCCCACGCCCTTTCCACAATCTACTCGGAGCTCGGGAAGCACACTCAAGACAGCCCTGGTCAGTGCTAGCAGATTACAATCATATGTCAAAACCTGGCCAAGCCAAAATCCTGTATGCAGAGGGTGCGAACCCTGGTGGCCCATGAGGGAGACCTTGTGGTCGGCCCCGTCGTACGTCGCATAGGACTGGGACCATATCCATTTCTGCAAAACCTGTGAGAAAGCAAGAAGCAGGTGGACCAAGCATTGAGCACGGTGGAGTCCGAGTACATGGCACTCTTCCGTGCCGTACGGGAGATTGTATGGCAGCGGCGTTTGTTGGCTGAATTGGGGGAGGAGCAGCAAGGACCTACCCCACTCTATTGTGACAGCCAGGGTGCCATTGCATTAGCTAAGAACCCCGTATTGCACTGCGTCACCAAGCACATGAGGGTGAAATGGCATTGGACGAGGAGCATGGTGGCCGCGGGTTAAGTTGAATTGCACTACGTGAAGACGACGACGTAGCCAGGTGACATAATGACCAAACGGCTGGTGTAGCAGCAGCATTGGAAGTGTTGCAAGCTGGCTGGGATGGCTCTGAACTGAGAGGAGCAGATCCTAAGGCCAACAATCCGAGGGGGGGTTTGTTGGTGCAACCCTACAGTTTGCACTCTGCTTGTTGTCCGTGTGCGTGCATGCGTGTGTGCATGGGATGGTATGAGACCATGAGATAATATATATTTCATGCTTATAATAGTGTGTGGATGGTGATTCATGATCTCGAATGTGTGTGTCGAGTCAATAGCAAGTTATCGCTATTCTCGTGTCGTATGCGGTTTTCTATTTTGTCGTGTGCGGAACGTTCGGCGTGTCGCAGGTGTGTGCAGCAGACCCATCAAGAACTCAAGGATGAGTTTATGGTGAAGAACCAGAGCCTTGGTTTCAAGACTCAAGTGATTTCGAAGCTCGCCAAAAGGGTAAACTTAAATATAGTGAGAATAGTTACATTGCTTTGTGTTGTGTAACATTTCTCTTGGTGTACGGCCTTGTGGAGGGTATTTTCGAGACCCTGCGTGGTTGGGGACAGTGTGGCACTGTTCCACATCAGTGTACCTCGGCTCTTGGGGTTTGTAGAGTGTAAGGATTTACAAATCCTTACTGAGGCACTCGTTAGCGAGGCCATCCCGAGGGTCACGCGACGAGCCTGTTCGGCCTAATTCGTAGAACTGAACCACTCTCGAGTCGGCCCCCGCTCCAATCGCAACATCACCGAGCCATCTTTTCTCGGCCTCCCCGCCTAGCTAGCTTTTCCCCTATTTGGTCGTGCCATTCTCATTGTATCGTGATTTAGTAATCAATCATTCTCGTTATTTGTTATTCTGCGCACTCTGTAAGTTCATAACATAGAGGCTGGGAGTCATTCCCAACTCGTAACTGTTCCTAATTTGTGTTCAAAGACTTTAGAAGCTGCCATAGTGCCACTCGTTCAAACTAATATTGCATCGTCAATACTTGATAAAATCGTGTGATCTAAAATGCCTATTGTAGACGACATTAGGACGCTCCAGATCCAATTTGAATCAGGTCATTTGAAGCAGTGACCAGCGCAGCACAGTGTGACTAGCCGCCGAAGGCTCCACTGGGTACCCTTATGAAATGACCCAGTGAAGCCAGGTGGGCGGCGCAGCCAGATCTCCTAATGAAGGCTTCCCTGCAAGATTGTTGTGCTGAAGTCAAGTGAGTGGAGCTCGTAGTCACACTGTGCTGCAACGTGCAGTAACACCCGAAGAGTGGTCATCTTTGGGGTGGGGGAGAAGGTCTGGAAGAAGTTGAACCCCTGTCGCTGTCTGAGCCTCGTGCAACGTAACGCGCCTTGAAGGCAGGCGGAGAACCCGGCGGCCGCATCACTCTAAAAATCCACATGCCATCGACTATGTTTGCACCAGGAGGGGGAACTGAGGCGACGTAGGTGCATCTGGACTTCCAGGAAGCCATCTCTGCATCCATGGCTGTCTGCCACTAAGAGAAGAACTCACGCGTGATCGCCTCTGCATAAGAGCGCGGGGTCGGAATGTCTAGTGCATCTGGGTCTCCCTCAAGGCAAAGCAGCACGGAAGCGAGATGAGGTACAGTAGCCGCGAGGCCCTCGAGCTCAAACGGCCTGTCCTCAAGGAAGTCACTTCCAAGGGCAAGCTCACCCCCAACGGACGCAGGGAAGTCAGATTCAGACTCAAGACTCGCGAGTCGAGAATGTCATGGTATGTGTGCTAGGGACAGCAGACTCAGACTCAAGACACGCTGTAGAACAGAGGAAGGACGAAGTTCCATAGTGTGTGTGCCAGGGACTGGTGGAGGACGAACACGACGACCACGATTATGGAACAGGCGAGGCAGGACGAGGCACAGGCCCACGACGCTCTCTGTCGGAGTCTCTCTGCTCAGTGTAAGGTGAAGGAGGAGGGAGAGGGGAGTGAGGCAGTAACGGCGGCTATGATTGATCAGGCGGAGTACACAGAAGAGGTGGAGTAAGGCCAGTGGAAGACGGAAGAGTAAGAACCTGGTGAAGCGCAGAGTCAGGTGGTGGAAGTGACGACTGCGGCTGCGGGAAGAAGAACGTTCGCCGCGGTACCAGAGCCTCCAGCTCCAGTGTCTCCAGCACCAGCACCAGCAGCACCAGCAGCTCTAGTACCTCCAACACCTCCAGCTTCAGCACCTCCAATACCCCCAGCTCCAGCACCTCCAGCACCAGCAGGTCCAGTACCTCCAACACCTCCAGCTCCAGCACCTCCAATATCTCCAGCACCTCTTGCTCCAGCACCTCCGGCACCAGCAGCTCCAGTACCTCCAGCACCTCAAGCACCAGTACCCCAACCAGAGCGACCTCGCCGAATAACCCACTCGCAAAGCTGCTACGGCGAGAGAGTCTACTGTCGACGAGACTTTCGCTGCTGTCCAACACCAGAACCTCCAGCAGGAGCACCCACGACTCCACCACCACTAGGACTCGTAGCACCCCCAGAAGCAGCACCCCCAGACTCATCACCCCAAGAACCAGCACCTCCAAAGTCAGCACCCCCAGGACCAGCACCCCCAGAGTCCGCACCTCTAGTGTCACCACCCCCAGCAGCACTGAGTTCCACAGCGCTGCAGAGGTGGCTAAGACGGCCGAGGCAGAAAACCTAGAGGGGTCTCCAAACGCGGGGAGCAGCGTGTGGCCGCTGTGTGGTCAGCAACAGTGTCACCCCCCTCAGCTGGGCCAGAGGTGTCAGAGGAGACCCCCAAAGGCTCAACCAAGGGGGGTGGGTCGACCTGAGACAAACCTGAGGGAGCAGGACTCCGTCGGGGGAGGGGGTCTACCGGGGGGGAACCTGGAACCAGGAAGAGGGGCGGCGGGGGGACAGGAGAAGACGAGTGGGGGTGGAGACGGTAGAAGCAGACCGACTTGTCAAAGGTGACGTCCTAGGACGACAGGACGCGGTGCGAGGTAGGGTGGTAAAACTGCCAGGGCGGGACGTCGGTGGGAAAGCCAAAGAAGATGCATGAGAGAGTGCAAGGAGAGAGCTTGCCCGCAATAAGATCGTGGACAAGGGCAAGCGAGCCCCAGACTCGAAACGCCGACGCATTGCCAGCCCCCCCCGTCCAACGCAGTGTAGGCAAGGTCTCTTGCACAGTGACACGGTGCCAGAGGTTGAGCTGATGCGCGGCGTATCGGACCGCAAATGGCCACAGAAAATGGGGAGCAGCCGCATGGATCATGGAGGTGCGAGCAACCTCCATGATCAAGCCAATGTGACGCTCAGCAATGTCGAAATCTTCTCTTCCTCCTTGCTCTCCTATCTCCCCCAGTTGCGCTACTCCTGTGCCCTCTCCCTTCTTCTCAGTGTCCCTCTCTTAGTGCCCTCAGCTCTCTCTTACCCTTGTCCCTGTACTCTGCAGCCCCATATACTATAATGTCTGAAGCCAGTCGTTCCTATGACTGGCTCAGCACAGATCTAGCTCGGCTGACTCTAGCAGTGTGGGTTATGGCCACCGAGGTGGCTTGCGAGGGTTGGCTCCACTGGGTATTGTTACCCTCCACTAATGGGTTTGAATCAATCCTCGTGTGAAAACAAACACGCAAGCAACTCTTCTATTGCTTGCCTCTACCCTAAGTACTGGGTCCTGGTTACCGTTGCTTACAACGGTGGCATTTCACTTATCGCTACTTGACTTTACGCTAGCGCGGGACGGGGGGCAGGGACCTGGGGAGGCCAGAGACAAGGAGACGAGAGTGCATGCCACGCAAATGTGGTAGGGAGGGTGACCAAGACGTTGGTGCCAGAGGAGGGACGGGTGCATGAGAAGGCGATACGAACAAGACGCAGCCAACTAACCTAACGCAGCCACCTGACCTGACGCAGCCACATGTGCAGACTTAGTGGTTAGTGTGTACAGGCCAGACCCAAGTCTCCGTGTGAACATCGCGAGGTGCTCGCCAGTGCGTGAGTACATGCAGATCGCCACAAGCTCACCCCCAGGAGTAGTGGTGGTGACCA